TTTGTTTAGGCTCATGGTTCTCAATGTGTGGTCCCTGGGCCTGCATCAGCATCACCTGGGAGCTTGTTACAAATGCACATCCTCCGGTCTCATCCCAGACCCAGGGAATGAAAGAGTCTGGGGGTAGGACCCAGCACTCTGGGTTTTAGCAAATCTTCCAGATGATTCTGATGCCAGTTCAAGTTTGAGAACCATTGTTTTAGAGTAAAATATTGCTTTCAAGAAATTCCCTATGTATTTGAGAAGAAGAGGGGAGATATGAGAGAGAGAAGAGATTTATAAATTATTTTAAAGGTGATGTACATGGTTTCATTTTTTTAAAATTTCAACTTTTAAAAAATGCATCTGCTTTGCTGTTTAAGCCCCATTGTTTCAAGGAAAGGACTAGCCAACAGCTGCAGCCAGCTCCAGCTGGCTTTAGACATTTGAAGGTTGGGGTGAAGCAGGGCAACCAGAAAGTGCAGTGTGAGGAAGGGAGGGAGAGGAGTCGATAATGATGCTTTCTTTTCCTGCAGGAGCCAGGGTCAGACAGTTCCTTCTTTCTAGTCAGTTTGGAAAAAGGCAAAGTCTATTCTCCTTAAAGATACTTTCTGCTGCAACAAATTGGAAAAATGGAAAGAAAGTTAGGGGGAATAAAATTACGCAGGGGTAACTATTGTCCTGACTTCTTCCTACTTGAAATGGGTGGAGAGAAGAGAACACAATCACTGGGGTACATAGATGAAGATAGCAAATTGCTATACTTAAACTTGGAGACCAAAGTCTTTTCAATTCAGTGAAATGATTTCATTTTTTAAAAAGCAGCATTCAGACTTTGATTTGCTATGGAAAACAAACAAAAAATATAATCTCCCCCAGAAATTAGTTTATGCTGCAGCCTCTGCCAGTAGCCTCATTACTTATGAGCTGTGGAAATATCAAAAACTTGGAATAACACTCGTTACATTGATGTAAACGGAATAAGCCAGATGGCTTACTACTGATCTTATACAACCAGCAAACTCTAATGATTTATCACCAAGCCTTGGATATGTGATTTAGCCTTTATGGGAATTAAATTTGTTGGATTGATCTCAAGTTCATGTGCTTTCCTTTCCATTTTTAATTTATACCACTTTAGTTTTCAGAATTGCTGATCTTTATATAGATTAAACATGAGCATGACAATTTTGAGTCAAAAAAAGGAGAGAGAAAAACATGTAACTATCGAATTTAAAATTCTCTAAGTTTAAATGAATATAAAGGAAAATATGAAAATAGACACCCAGATCTTACAAAATAGTTTCTCTAAACCTTAAAAGTCAAATTTGATTTTTCTTCTACACATCACAGATGATTTAAACATAGTACACCAGGCTCCAGACAGCAATCTAGGAAATGAATGCATAAAATATGATGTTATCAATAGAAATTGTTGACCTAAAAAGAAAATGACATTCTTGTTCATAGCTGCAAATTTATCTTATAGGGTTGGATGGGGACATAGTAGCACTGTGTTAGGGGAAGAACAGAAAATGGCATTTGACTGTGGCAGTCTGTTCCATAAACACAGAATGAATGGTGAAAAGCATTCTGCCTTGTAAACTGTTTTTAATGTAGACTAGTCTCAGTATGAATTGTTTAAAAATACATATAAATATGTATTATCTGGATACTGTCTTTCTCCAAATTCCCTGTCATCAAGCCAGGTTTAAAACACTAGTTGGTTTTGTATTTGAGAAACTAGAATAAAAGTGGTTAAGTT